AGACTGACTATGGAAGACGGAAGGAAAAAAAAAAGAAGAAAGAAACATGCTTGAATCGGAGGCAGGAAGTGGGAAAGGAGAAGGAGGGAAGACCGAGAAGTTTTTTTTCTCTTCTCTTACAGTCTTCGGCTCGATCTCATCAGGTGCACGCTGTAAAAGTGGACTGTTCTTTTACTTTTTGTGCTTCGCAATCGGTGTGCCGCGGCTAAATCCCTGACGTGCCGTGGTATTTTCGAAATGATAGGAAAAGGTTTCATCACTGTTTTATTATTCTCAAGCTACGACCGACGAACGTCGGTTGAATTGACTAGTGGGTGATGAGAATATTATACAAATTGACATTATTAAACTTGGTTCGGTATGCCGTGAGGATCGAGCAACTCGAAAGTGTGCCGTGAAATAAAAAGGTTGAGAAGCACTGTTGAGAACACTCCCTTCATTTCGAAGCGTACATCTGTTAATCTCCCTCTCTATATTCCTTCCTTTCTCTTTAGTATGCAGGCTTAAGTTTTTTTCATTTTTAACTTGCCCTGGGGCATTTTACCTCTTTACTTGACCCAAAGGAAATTTTTTACATTGACGTCGCTTGAATCTAGGGTTGTAGGGATGTTTCGGCAACTGCCAGTATGGCCCCATCGGCAGGTTTGCTATCTGCCGGTGCCGATGTCCAAAGAAGACTGTGTAGAACGAAGAAAAAGAGAATAAAAAAAAGACGTGCTTGGCAACTGATTCTCAACGGTAATAAGAAAAAATTAAGGTTGTCCTGATGAATGGATGTCATTTTCGATCGTTGGAGGCGTGGTAGGATTCATTGCTCGTTGCGTAGAACACACTTTTTCCCCGATCACAAGCGTGAGATTATTCCGCGCCCCGATCGAGGCAAGAAAGGACGGAAGTCAAACTTCCGCTTTTTATTGAATCCTTCGGCAGTGTCCAGGAGTTAGGATTACACCAAGACTACAGTGTGTGTCCTACTAAAAGCGATTTTTTAATCAGTGTCATCATATAATATACTGTGTATTGGAATCCTTACAATTAAAAAACTGAATCTGTTTGCCTGGAGTGAGCTGTTGAGTTTATCTCTCACATCATCAGAGTATTAAATTACGATGTATTCAAATGGCTTGACTTGGCTTTGTTTTTCTTTACGAATTTAACGAAATGATTTCCATCAATTCCGGCTCCCTGTCAGCTTCCGGGGTTAAGGCCCTTATCACCAGTTGGCTGGGGGGGGGGGGCCATTATGCCTAGAAACGGCGCTGTATCATCATGTTCTGAGGCTGTGCCAGAAGACATTCTAACAGAACTGGTAATGTTCAGGGAAAACATACGGTTGTAAGGAAAGGAGTGGAACTATGAACGGCCCACAAAAAATTTTTGCTGGGCCTCGTACATCACTTCAAAAGAAAAACGTTTTATGGCACTTGTTACCGGAAGCGTTCGTTAGAAGCATGGAGGGTATGGGGGGGTGTAATCAAAGAATCTAGCGAGTTTTCACAGTAACAGTGTAAGCAATACAATTGAGTTCTCTGGAAAAAAGAGCGTATGTGCAAACGATGCAATTCGAGATAAACGATAAAAACTTCCCATAGCTAATCTGAAGCTGGTCAAAACGTAATTATCAGTTAAATGGTATCATGGACCTTTTTCCTATTGAACTTGGGGTTTTAATGAATTTCTTAACTCACGTAGCTGTTGTGCTGGCAGAAAATGTTGATGCACATACGCCCTTTTTCCATATCCGCGCTGCTGAAACTTTTTCCAACGAGCATTTCATAACTTCGTTCCAGTTAAAAAATAATAAGTAATCAATAAATGCATCTACAGATTCCAAATAAACTCTTTCTTGAAGAATAACAATGAAAATGCGAATATTCAGGGCACGTTTCATTCACCAGTTTCCACCAATTCATCCACCAATTACTCAGCTGTGATCCATTATTAATGCATTCGTCATCTGAATCTGCAACTATTTCATGGATATCTTCAACTTCTCACATCCTTCCAGAGGCTTCAATGAAATTGCCAGGCAGTTGACCTGCTACATAGCGAGAGCATAGGAAAATCTGCTTCTCCTTTGCTGAATACGCATGTTAAATACTTGCTGACCACCCTATCCTATGACCAGTCACCTAAAGCAGCGCATGGATACGGATATGGAAAAAGGGCGTATGGGCACTTGCGCCCCTTTTCCAGAGAACTCCTCAATTCTACCTGCAAAACTTGGTCAAGTTCTAAAATAAAAATTCTGCAGAATTTCCTATGTATGTCATGGAATTCTTTTGAAAATATTACAGCCTTTTAACACACATAAACGAGCTACTTCCTATTTTCTGCCTCTGGTTAGTTTTCTGGAAGTAGCTCAATGCACAGAGATTAAATATGCAGACACAATTAAAGCACTGACTCCACTTGTATTTTGAAAGATCAGAAAGCAGAGAAATGGTTGAGAGCTGCTAAAAAAAAAACAATCATGGGAGTGACTCAAACGCAAAACTGTATTGCACACAACCAGCAGATCACAAACACAAAGAAATAAAATTCTGCTCCAAGATAATGAACTGATCAGTAATAACACAAAGATCCAGGTCTCACATTAAAAAAATTTGCACCAGTACATAAGATGGTTACTCCTTACTACCTTTGCTCAATGCCAGAGACCTCACCAATGCAATGGTTTACTCAGACGAGTCAACATGATTTGAAAGACTCAGCTAGAGCAAAAGTTCAATTGGGTTAGTCATAACACCATCAATTGCCAAGCAAATCACCGGATAACAGCACCAGGTACGTGAAACATCACAACATATTGCACCATGTATATGTACCATCACAACATATTGCACAGTCACTAGGCTTTTGAGCATCTAGAATGAGCATGTGAGAATGTGCTTAACAACAAAAATTATATAACAACCAGATGAGATTCTTGGTTCTTATCAGATCTTCACATCACATCAATAAAGGCAGAAAACATAGAAGCACCAATGATGAATGCAAAATGAAAATGAGATTCCAACGATGCTGCAAAATGAAATCCTGAAATTCCCACCACCAGTGAAACAGCACTGAGTACTGTTCTGAGTTAGGGAAAACAGGTAGAATGTGATGCCAGGATGCACATTGAATAAGTATGTATGCTGATGGATTCCAAACACTCAAAGGTGAAAAAAGGACATTCATGACTGGATGCTGGGGTCCAGGACTGAGTGAACACTGCAGTCAGCACCAGGAGCACACCAATGGTTGAATGAAAGAAACAAAATGGAAAGCACAGCAACACAATGCAAATGGAGTAATGATTGAATAATGGATAATACATGCAAAGAAGTGATGTGATGGAAAAAGGAGGGATGAAAGTCTAATGCAAAGGTGACACAAGCATTACCTCAAAAGAAACCAATCAGTGTTCTAGCCAGGAAATTTCCTAAGTTGGGTGGGCTCATTGATTTACCACTGTGGGCATATGCACCCTGCCTTCCCCAAGCTTGAAGTTTTTCCAATCCAATTTGAGGGGAGGAAAAAAAGCAGAACAACTTTAGAGGAAGCAAAAAGTTGTGGAAGTAATGTCAACGGCACAGTTCATATTCTTTGCCAAAACTCAAGGACTGTGAAAAATACGAGCACATAGTATTGGCTTCTGAAAATAGATACAGCCTCTGAGTACTGGAAGTCCTTGAGCGGAGGACCCCCAAAAGACATCAGTAAGAATCTGTTCAGCAATGAGGCTTCCAGACAATTTCTCAATTGTGTTTTAACCCTTTCACTTTTTATGAGAAGTTTGTGAGTTTTGAAGGTGAGTTTTGAGATAAAAGTTTACCTTGGGCAATGGTCAGCCTGAGAATTTCTCATAGATAACAGAGGAAGGGTTAATGCACTTCAGGACAAATAAGTGTCATCTGCAATATGCAAGAAGGAAGAACTATCACAGCAATCTAATTTTAAAGACAACAAAATGAGGCAGCACTCAACTATCATGCCCACTATTAGAAAGTCATGGGCAAGAGACTGATGTAAAATTTACCCATTCAAGAGCAAAGTACTAAACAGGGTTTTTGCATATCAAATAGGTTTCAAAGCATCATACCATAAATTGATTTAGAAAGGTATGCTCATCTGAGCAGTGTGTCACACGCAATATGCTATGGGGAACAGCAGCAGCATGCTTTCACAAGTAGCACACATCACAAGACTACTAATTCTTTAGTTTTTGTTTTTTCCTTTGTTCTGATGGAATATTATTTGCTTGTTGGAGAACAGGCATTCATAAAATTGATCATAGTACAAGCATGCCCCAGAAAATCACTGTACAGCTGCTGTACATGGAACAACCTGCTTTTGCAAGAGTCAGGAGTTTCTAGATGCAGCTTGTGAGGGAGAGAACATGAAAGCACGCAGAGATGAGTTCCTGGGTGGGATTGGCTAGAAGTTTTATGCTAGAGTTATGTATTTCCTGTCCCTGCCACTTCAGGTGGACTACTCAAATATGGGTTTATACACTTGTTCAACTAGTTGGTCAGTCCATACTATGGTACAACTGAAAAACTCTGGGATTGTCTTGTCAGTTCTGTAAGTCTCCATTGGGTGAAGATATGCCAAGGGAGAAAGATCCTGCATTTAACAAGCAGCTGCTTTTTATTTGGGTGGCTGAATTCTTAATCTGCGAGTTAATGAAAATTCTGAAATCGTGACATGGGCTCACCCAGTCCAAGGCCACCAAGGCCTAGCTAGAATCCTGATTGATATCATCCAAAGGAGAAACACAAGGAGCAAGAGAGAGACAATATTCTATTCCAGAAAACTTTTAACCAGTACTTCTTCCCCTTTTCTGAACCAGAGTCAAGAGCTCAGCATAAGAAACCTGACAGAAGTTTTCTGACATAGCACATTTGAGTCACAGAATGAAAGAAAGACTTTACAACAAGCCATTCACAAGCAAAAGAAAAGCAAAGGTCACAGAGCAGAAGGCAACTGCAGCAGGAGAGGTGAGCCAGAGACTAATAAAGGTGCTTGATCAGGATGAAGATGCCAAGGCCAGTGGCTGGAATGAGAATAGAATAAGCAAGAAGAACCAAGAGAGGATGGGGGGGATGTCTCTCCATGAATGTAAGTCGGACTGGAACGTGTGGGACCTTCTTGTTCTCAGGTTCCTCCTCCCAATTATCAGCAAATGGGATTCGACCCACAGCATGCAGCACCTGCAATGTTGAAAGATCTGGTTTAGCCCCCAAAGTGAAAGTGAGGTACAGCTACAAGTGGTATAAATACTTGAAATAAAGATACAAAAATATGGTTACAAGACATGGAGATGTAAAAAATACTAAGTGAAAAACTTGCAAATTTAAGAAAAAGTTCCATGGAACTTGGAGTCTGTCTATATAAAAAAAAATTGTGAACCTTAAAAAAAAAAAAGGCTGACGACAAGAGTCCAAGCCTGAAAGTATTAACTCCTCACGCATGTAACAGTAGAGTGTATCCATACTTTCAGAATGCATGACAGCTCTATACTACTCATGGCATTCCACTCAGTAGTTTAAGATACAAATTTTTAAAGCTGAGTCAAGTTTGTTATAACATGACTCAGCTGAAATAAATGGGTTAATATGCCAGAAAAAGTGACATCTAATTAATGCAGGAGAGGGAAAAACACTAACAGTTGAATACTAGTAATTGTGTTGAGATGTTTTCAACTTCATTTATATAAAAAATACTGGTTGTTGGTTGGGGTGAGGGGTTGTTGGCTCAATGGGGTCCAAAATGCATTAATCTTATGGGAAGAAAATTCCATTCCACAAAAAACCGTCACTTAGAGGGGTGGTCTGCTCAAAGGGGAGGCTGAGAAGAGGGGTGTCACTGTACAATGATTAGTCTGTGTACAGTTCGTAGTCTTGCTCTCAGCATTGGCCTTAAAGGCTCCGCTGCTATCCTTGATCTATGGGTTTGCAAAAAGTAATGGTCACTGTGTTGCAGTAATTGTCTTGACAACCAGCTCTGTATGTGGATGTGTGTATTGGGTACTAGGGGCCGTGCAAAGCCATATGGTTCACAAAGAAGCACAAATCATGCAACAATGCTCACTCCTTCAAGCTTTTTTTTTTTTCCTGCTTCTAGAAAAATGAAAGTAAAAAAAAAAATATGTAGAAACCAATATGCTATAGTAGATGCAATAACTGACCTCTCTTGCAGCTCGTTTGCCAGCTCGTATAGCACCATCCATGTAACCACTCCAGCAAGAGGCTGTCTCTGTCCCAGCCCAATGCACCCGGCCAAAGGGTGCCTTCAGAGCTTCCCCATATGTAGTCAGGGCCCCAGGGGGAAAGAAAGAAGTGTAGCATCCTCTGATGAAAGGTTCCTTCATCCAGTGCTTTTCATGGTATTCCAGTGGCTGTTTGAACCCAAATTTAAAAAAAACTTGGCTAAGGAAACTGGTAACAAGTGAAGGAAAGGAAGGAAGGAAGGAAGCTATTCTTACATTCTTCATGCGATCATCCTGAAAGATTTCTGCAAGACTAGAAACAAGTGCATCCCGGCATTCATTGCTTGTCATCTCGGTTGCTTTTACTGCATTTTTTGTGTAAACGAAGACAGTCATGGCACCTTCTTTCAAGCCTTCCCGTCCATCATCAACCACATTGCCACAGAAGTTTGTCCCATCACCACAGGTCACGAACCCATTGACTCCTTTCAAAAGATTTCAAGATGGTTGTGAGCAGAGGAAACTCCAACTCATTAGGCTGAGATAGGCTTATGGGCATGACTTCATGTTATCTGCCCAACTCAATCCTCTACTCCCCATTGGGTAGGCGAACTTATAGCTGACCATAATGAGCTTCATAATATATCTTTGAACTTTGGGGATGGATAATATATCTTTGAACTTTGGTTCTCAGCTATCCCTCATTTCCTTTGGAAATGGAAAGAATAGGCTAAATAAGTCAATATAAAAGCACAGTGATGCAGACATTATAGCCAGCAATTAAAACCCCAAAAGAACTGAATTCTAATTAGATTGATTTCATCCATTGGTGCTGATCTTGGGAGAACTCTCAATACAAGTAATTTTTGCCACCAAAACCAGTGCTACTCAGAAATCCAAAGAAACTTCAGATTTTTCCAGTCATTAGGATAATGAAATGAAGTAGATACATGAAATTTAAGTGATCTTGAGAGAAGATTCATATCATCAAAAAATCACTCAAACAAGACCTTAAAATTAACTATATATAAATTAGCCAAAAATGCAAGTTTTTAGTTCTACTGAATGTCTTTGTATTTGTGACTCTTTTTAATAAAATCAAATTCTCCATTCCCTAGGCTTTCTCTAATCCTATTATTCTAGACTTCCAAGAACAAGAAATGGAATAGATGCCACTCATAGGAGTTTTTTTTTCTCCTCGGAGACTCAGTCATAAAAAAGTGTTTCTGGTTTCTTTCCCTTATCACCACTCTCCTGCTCACCCCAGGAATTAGAGGCATATTTCAAACCTGCACTGCCTTTCTTTCTCTCTTCCATTTTCTCTGGAATCACAGCAAGTGAGAAAATTCATCTCGCACTGGCCTTACCAGTGCGAGGGTAGGCTTAACAATCACATCAAATGATTGATGACTCCCGCTCCCATTCTGCAGGTGTCTTCATTTTCCCTCTCCATCTGATTCATCTTTGCCAATGTTGCCTTGTAAAGTTTGTCTTCCATGAGCATGGCAACCGGAAGCGAACCTATATCAGTCTGTCATAATCTAAAATGGTAATACCTTCCTATTAGGGGCACAGAGGAATGCAATATCCAGCTGCCCCTGGAGAACACATTCCAAGTATGGTGGGCACTCATTGTGATCACATTGGCAAGTGGATATTGATAGCATAAAGCAGCTGATTACAATAGGCAAGGATAAACTCAAGAATTAAGCAAATTCTGTAAATAAAACCAGTCACTTTTACTAGACGTAGTCACCTAAAGTCACTCGAGAACTGGTAATAATTACTAGGTCCTTGAATTTTGTATTGTATCACAGTAAGCTATATTAGATAGTAAGATTTAAATATCCAAACCCCAAATCTGGGAGATAACAATAACCAGAGATCATAAGAGGCACCTACTGTATGCTTTAACCCTTTTCAAGTCATTTTCATGCACACCATATGTGCATCACTTAGGAGGTTAAGTCAAAACTCAGGTGCTTGAAGGGTTAAGGAGGGATGGATCAATATGAGAGTTCTGGCTGAATCCCAATGTTCAATACAGCCTTATCTGACATGGCTGATACTGATAATCAATATAACTTCATCTGGTTGACCAAATACCAAAGAATACTAAATATAAGGAATATTAAAAATCAAATTATCTAGTCTAATCTCAATGAATGAAAACCATCTTTACTACTCATTAGAAAATAAAAAATACACCTATTCAATCATGGGTGCTTGAACTTTGCAAATATAAAATTTGAATTAAACCAAACCAGAGAAAGATTCCAGAGTTCTTTGCAATTTATAATAAAAAAATATAAAAAATCTGGAATATGTTAACATGCAATGGAATCAACACAAAAGCCTATTCTAGCCTAACTGGGGATTTTGCCTTTTGCACATCACCATCATCAATTACACTGGGTCCTACAACAGCTTTGCCATGCACTCAAATCTCTATCCTATGAGGCTAACCTATGAGGTAGCACAAGGAAATCATCAGTCAGCTTCTTTCATGCATCCATTTTTATGCTGGACAAAATTGGAAGGGCTTCAAAAAGGGTACATCTTGCATCTACAGACCTTCCCTGTAGACACCATGCAACATTACAATACCCTATCACATTTGTCTCTAATGGGACTGCATGCTTATCTTGGCAGCTGCTAAGATTTAACTTTAGAGTTTTCCTCTCCAAGAGGAAGGTCACTTCATCAGATTCAATCCAAACAAGCCAGATTGATAAAATCCAAAAAATAGTTAATCCTAACAAAATCAGTTTCATGATGCCTGAATTGACTAGAATTGAATGCATTGTAGTCTATCCAGTCAAACTTTGCAATGCCAGAATTGCCTGTTTTATGGTAACTCATTAATTTTGTGCTGTCATCAGCCTGTCAAAACATTGAAAAGGGGCTCAAGGCTATCAGTGGCTGACCCATGTGTTCCTGGCACTTGTCAGGCATCTTATCAAGATTTCTAAAAACATTCATGTGATGCCCTTCCTTCTTCCAGGAGCATTGTACCTGCGTCTGGCAGAGGGGTCAAAGGGAAATCACCCTCTCCCCTTAGGGGATAGGAAGATGGATGGCATTTAATGACTTCTTTGAAGATTAAGTGCGGCAAGGTTGGACCAGATAGACAATACCAACAAATATACATATACAGTAAAACCCCTTCATGCCAAAGAGACAGGGGACTGATTTATATTGGTGGAGTTGCTTTTAACTTCAAAATTATGGTAATTCCACTCCAAAACTTCATTACATGAGTCATGATAGAGCTTTACTGTTATGATGTAACCAATATCATTAACATGGTGTCTCCATATTTGAATGTTTTCATAACAATGAAATATCATGCAGCCCTATGATATCCAATGCTTATAATATATTTTTGCAGCCCTAATACACAAGGAAGGGATGTAGAGATGCAGGATCACCTTGGGGAAGTCATCCATACACCTTGGCCTTCTTTCTCACCCTGTTTCCTCCAATACGCTTCAGGATAGTAGAATTGGGCCTTGAGGCAAGCACCCATGGTTGAACGCTGGTTGAGCTGAGCACGGATTGCCCGCAAGTGTGGACGGAAGTGGATTCGCTGCTGCTGCGGAATGGGAAGGGCCATTATAGCATGGGTTCCACTGAACATCCGACCATCCAGTGTAGTCACCTCGACTCCCGATTCCACCTGAGACACCTTTGTCACTGTTGCATTCAGGACCACTCGGGAATCTGGACAACAATAAGCCACGATGAATATATTTTCACAGAAAAATTAGTCATGAAATCTAGACAGAGCAGCAGATGATGCCCAAAAATTACAGGCCAGTGGGCCATGCTAAAAGAGAAGTTGACACCACAGGTGAATAGAGATTATGGCTATCCTGCCATTCCCAATATAATCCAAGCTTACAAATATTCTGTGATTCATCTCATAGTATACTCCATATTTTGGAAATGGAATAGGCTATTCAATATTTTACCTACTCAATTTGAATGACTTAAGTTTGTGGGGAGATAAGGCAAACATGCAGGCTTTGGGGCAAAAGCCTATTATAAATTCAGCAACATATTTAGACTTACTGGTACCAGAATTTGAATTGCAAGTTGCCCATCACCATATTTAGCAAAGGGAGAAACATTTCATTCTAGACAATTTTGCAAAAGCATGGCTTTAAGAAAGTGCTACATCTTATTCTCACATTTTTTCCTTCCCCTTTAGAATTTCTCATTTTATGATTCTGGCATTACAAGTGCTCTGTACTTTTATATTTTTTTGCCCTATACAAAATTTGCAAGCAAAGATGTATCCCACCTCCTAGAAGCTGAGCAATCCGGAGAGACATCTGCTGAGATCCGCCAAGGATCTTGCGCTCCTGGGCCCCACCATGACAGTTCCAGATGCGGAACATCCCGTCAGCACAGCGGACGTACCACAGGTACCAGAGGAGAGAGACCTGGCATGGATCAGCTGTCACATTGGTGTGCACCTGGGACGTGAAGAACTCCTTTGCATCTCTGACAGCCCATCACGCAGCCATCGATGACAGGGACACAAAACATTCCAAGAGAGATGGAACCCAGAGAGAGAAAAAAAAAGGGACTTCAAGCAAGGTTGATAGAGGAAGACAGGAAGGAAGATAGAAACAAAAAGGAGACAGGATTAGTGCTGCTACCTACTACATTCTTCTGTCACTAATCACAATGCCAGTAACTCCCTTTTATATCAGGCTATTACTAAAGCCATGTCCAGACATAGGAGAAAACCCTACAGAAGGAGAAATATGAAGTGGATGAAACCAATGGCAAGCAATGTACAGCACACCTGCATTTATTATTGCCCGTAGCTACTGTTTGCTGCTGGTATAAATAAGTTAATAATAAATAAGCTGCTAGAATAAAGAAGTTGCTCAATGAAAGCTGCTTCCAACATCTAATACAAGCCACAAAAAGCACAACCATATTTGGATGCTACCTTTATGCATGTGTGCATGTGTATACAAGCGCATGCATGCATGCACACATATATATGCATGTAGTTTTGAGCTCATCTACACAGATAAATTATCAATAGTTGCCACTAACTTAATGACATGATCTCATAGCATTGTCTAATAAAGTGATGTGAATTTGAGCTAATGTAGCTGATTTGCAACCTTAGTCGAAGAGACTTAACTTAAAACTTTTTGCATTGCTTTTTTCAATTTCTTTCCTTTCTCATCATCGTTCTTTCTGATCATAAACCTCAGATTGACAAGGACATGCTCATACAAAATTGACACGTTCTACCTCATGTCCAAAGAATATGATGGAACTCATTCTTGTGACAAAACTTGAGCTAATTATTCCCCACGAAGCTAAAACTGAGCATTCTGATGGAAGATGAATGCAAAACAAATTTTTACCTTAGATATGCAGGATGTGGTATGCAAAGATTACATAATGCATGCATGAAACCAAGGAAAGACATGGGAAAGGGTGAAGGCTTATTATGATGAAAGTAGAAATGGTCTGATGCACTCAACATGAAGGAGCAAGTACTATACAGGGTATCCCATAAGTCACTATATCATTTCAAACTGCAATATTTTCCAAACTGCAACAAGCAGTTGTTAACATTGATTGAAGGAATGTTCTTTATAGTTTTTTTCAAATGACTTGGAATCAGACACAGACTCCAACAGAAATTGCTTCAAATGCATATTAAAAAGGTGTACTTGTTTAGGGCAATTTATGGTATACATTGTTGAATCATATACTACAAAAGTGCTCAATTTTTTTTTGCTGTCATAAGGAAAGTATTTGCAATTGACACTAGTGAAACGAAGTTGCCACCTGGAAGGCAATTGGAATTCTGATGAGACTCTCAACAGAGTTTCAGTGATTTTTTGGTGCTGAGCCTCAAGCAAAATGCATTGACATAGGCAGAGGGCACCTTGAGTCACTTACAAAACTCAAAAATACCTCCATTTTTGGCAAATATAATTCCAAAAAACAACATTGTATTGTTCAGTTAATGTTACTTCCACTTTGTGCCAACAGTTTAGTATATGAGACCTTTTGAAATGATATAGTGACATACAGGACATACTGTACAATCGTAAGCTCCTGATATGTTCATTATTCAGTTGTCCCAAGGAAGATAGATGTATACAAAGCACCAAGTAGTCATGCCAGACTCAATAAAAGCAACAAAAGTAGCTGGAGAACCACACCCTCTTAGGGTGAATAAACCAGCAAACTTTAAAAATCACTGCATTTTGCAGCATGCTGTTTGAAAGCCCCTTTTACCTGGGACATGCTCGCATGACAACAAAGGTGAAGTCTGCCTAAAAGCCTGCTCCACAACAGGCTTTTACAGGAGATATAGTTTCTCTATTTCCTCCCCCCCTCTCTTTGATTCTTATTAGAATCAGTTTGGGTGGGACTTGAGTCTGACATTTGGAAACTTTGCCTTTCTGCAACTAGCATCAGCCTCAAGGGAATTGAGATGTCTTCAACAGTACATTTCATCTTTAACAGGAAATTGCATCCTTCACACATTCCCTCTCAGACTATATTGGCCTATTCAGGCAAATCTGTTTTGGCATGTCAGCAACGCCCATAATAATTTTTATTTCACAAGAATTGGGATGCCATTTTGGCAAAATTTGAACTGGCACACTGTTTCACAAGCCATAATTATTGCACATGCAAAATAGCAAATTTTGAAGTAATGCAATATGCCTACAGGCACTTGTTTCACTAGTTTCCAAAAGGTTGTGGTTTGAACTCAGGAAATCATAAAATTTATAACTTCGCTGGTTGCCTCTGTGGAAAGAATGTGGCTATGCTGAAATAACATTAAAAAAGCTTCATTTTTATTTTTCGATAGATTGGGAGCATATGTAATGTGCGCAATATGACACTTCATGCATTCTCACTGAATCCTAGAGCCTTAATATCCATATTCAGGCCAGATGCCAAATGGAATCCTTTCAATAAATTCTTTTTTTATTATGAACATTCATGAATAATAACAGTTATAGCTGCTCCTTTCCTTTGGGGTTTCCCCATTCTGTGGCAATAGTGGCACCAGGCAAAACCTCCTCAGAAACTGTATCGAGTGGGAGACTCTTGCCCTCCATAAAAATGATATTTTGTCTGAATGAATGATTGTGTGAGAGTGCAGCATGTCAGGATATTGCATTCCAATTTGGTGATTCACAGATTATCCTTTCACTAAGTCACTTTTTTTTAAATTTTCTTCACTCCCAAGCATTCCCATCATCATCATTAAAATAATGCTGTAAAAAAGGCCAAGTGAATTATTAAAAATACATAATATTTCCAGGTTGAATTAATAGCTATTATTAATATTCAAAAACTATTAGTTTATATTTTTTATAGTGCATAAGTTTATTAAAACTACTATTGAAAAGATTTGATTCACATTATGTTCCCATACTTTTATGGCTCCAAATTAATTACCACTGAACAACACAGGAATTTGAGTGCTTTCATTTATATCTGAACTCTGCACTCAGAAAGCTTCACTATCTGCTATACTACTTTCTTACAAAGTTGACAGTTATCATGACATTTCTGCTAAGGAGGAAGCGAACCTGGTCCAGAAGTTCCTGTCCATCCATTCCTGGACAGTCATGGAATCCCATTCATGAGCATTTGGTGACTTCCATGGTTCCTTGGGATTAACATGCCAGCACATGGCATCCATTTTCTTCATGTTGTACCAGAGATCCCACTTTGCCAGGGGATTCCTCCACCAGAGAGTAGGCCATTGCGTCATGTATGTATTCCGCTTCCCCTGATGAAGATAGGAAAACAATTTCAAGGGGATCGCCTAAAATTCTGACCAACAATTTGGAGACAGTTGGTTTCCTATTCTTTCAAAAGAACTGATGTTTTGATATGCTCATTCAAATGTCTGCAGATGTCAAAGATTGTATGTCAACATCTATGAGAATAATACTACTGCATCATTTCACATTTTGTTAATTTTCAGCAAGTCATCATAAAGAGATGAAAGAAAGAATGCCACAGAACCTTGTGTCCAATCACATACGAATACACATGTAGGCATCATTAGTTGGATCTCAACTAGTTTAATAAAAGCCTTCATCTTGAGCTGATGCACCAAATTTCCCATAAACATTTTTTTCATTATCAAACAAGATCTATCCACTGGCACTCAAGACTTCTGTGGAAGCAAATGGACACTTTTGGGTACACTGTTAAGGATAATTCTTTGCTTACCAGGCAAAAAAAAGGCAACACAATACAGACTACTCACTGTCTTGCAAAAAAAATCTCAACAATCTTTGAAATCAGAATGCTGCTCTTTCCATTCTGCTTGCATCAACATCATCATTTCCTGAAATCCTTCATCCATTGCACCCATGATATTTCTAACATGATCATTAAAAAAGGAGAAATTGTTGCCCCTGGATCATGCATTCACAATGATCTGGGATCAGGGAGCTTACATTGCTGTAATGAAGGAAGGGCTGGTCATTGTAAATCTTGTACGTCTCAAGTCCTAGCTCATCAATCAGATTGAGGACAGCATCCTGAGTAGGACCAACAAAAGCAGCCCCAAGGTCAATCCAACCATACTTTGGGTGTCCAGGGCTAAGAGTACGACCTCCAACCCTATCCTGGGCCTCCAGGATCAAAACATCGACACCAGCTTCCTTCAGGACCTTTCCAGCCGACAGACCTAGTCAATGGGTCAAAAAGGAACAACTTTCAAGTCTACCCTTTGTGTCTCCATCCCCGTCTCATCAAGTTGAAAACCATTAACTTTAAGAAGGAAAAAAAGCCTAGAACACACTGTATAGCAAGGCAGAACATTTAACACGTTGACGACCAGCCTATTTTTGCTTGTCCACCGCGTGGGACCACACGCATTTTTTTTGCCAAAAAATGCGTCCTGCCATCAGGACGCATGGTCCCAGAAAACATTTTTTTTTTGCTGAGTTTTTTTAAAATGTTGAATTTTTTGGAATTTTTATCAGTAATTACGAAATCATAATCTTCTGGAATGTTCTCAACAGTTCCAGAGGGTATTAATTGAAAAAAAATCTGCATCCTGGCATCAGGACACATTGTCGCCAACGTGTTAAATCAACAACTAAGGAAAGATTCCCGTGCAAAGTTTATAGCATGGAAGCATTAATAGCATTCTCTGTGGCTAATGTTCACCTTCATTAAAATTGGCAGAAGCTGTGATGGAACAGGAAGAAATGTCACCTGTTACAGGTTCTTTACATCAATTCATTAAAAAAGGAGAACTTTATACCTCAAAGCAAATGCTTTCACTATATCTTCCTAGGAAGAAGGCTCAAACAGATTTCATAACTTCAGCAAGGCTCTAGATTTTCAACTATGGAACAAAACTCCTTTGGGAGAAAAAAAGAGCTCTTTAGTTTAACCCTTATAATGCCACAGGACCAATTTTTCGGCCACATCTACTTCCAAAAATTCTGCAGGTGGATTTTTATGCCATCTAACAAGAAAGTCCCCAGCTACATGAAGGAAGAGACACAATGAAAAGCCATGGCTGAAAAATTGACCACACTGCACTAAAATGGTTAAAGGCCTCCTTTTATCTCACCTAAATGAGATTTGTGCATTTGATTCTAAGTCTCTGGTCCTACTCCTCTTAATGCAGCATGGGTAAATATTAACACCCACACCCATGGTCATTCAAAGCATGCAAAATTATAAAACACTCATTAAAAAAAAGCAATATGAAGAACCTGTATTTAGTTTCTGCAACATATGGATCTCTATGGCATGGATAATGAGGTTGATATTGTTTTGATGAGGTTCAAACTACAGAAGCAAAATCGGTCATGTTCTCTTTACAAGCTAACATTTATCAAGCCTTTTTTTTACTCAAGATGCTCAGGACTACAAAATTAGGGTGAAAGTGTCAAATTTTTTTAGTAACACTGGGAATAAAGTTTAAATAGAAAAATCATGACATTGGTAGCTACCAGCCTCTGACTCCTATTTCAGTTGAAAATAATTTGCACACTACACAATTACTCTGATAGACTAATAACAAGCTTACATTCATATATGGTTGTTTTATTATCATTTTTAATTCACAGCTCCCACTTCAAAACATTCAAAATCATAGGTGGTTTTGGAGGAAAACAGAAGATATGGAAACTATTGCCATAGACTTTTAAAGGTGTTCTTGAAGCAACATGGCCTTCAAAACTTACCGCTAAGGCCAGCTCCGATGATGACCACTTTCTCTCCAGACATGATTGAAGCAAACAAAGACCCAGTGGTCTTGAATTGTTCATAAGGAAAAAATTAGCACCAAAGTACCTAAAAAGGCAATTGACATGAAAAAAGCTGATGAAAGCATACTGCATTTGACAGGAGAAATGCTTGAATGACACATTACATCCAAGCAAAACTTAAAAAGAATGTAAAAAAATTCCCACACCATTATTTGTTACACTCTCATGAAACAGTCAATGTCTTCATTGTCTCATGTTCCATTCACCATGGTGATGATATAAGTGGATATTAGAGTATCCAAAAAATTTTTAAAATATCTTACCCTCCCATTCTAGTACATATCCCAAAAGGCATGACAAATTTCAACTCAATTGGTTGATATTTAGAGGTAGCTCAATGAACTTGAAGTTTCAAGACAATCGCCCTAGTAGGAGACCTACTATTTATAATACCACAAATCATCCATATCATCGACTTTTTGGCTAATGCAATATTGTTTAATGCAAATTGTTCTATATCCCCCTATCATTGCAAAATGAGCAAAAAAGGAAGTGATAGGGTACCAAAGACCTGAAGGAAATTCTGAAATATGGCTCCTTGGACAGCCTTTGATAGAGGTTCCTGAAAATAAATTGCTTCCAAAGTTAAAAACACACCAACTACATTCTACCTCCAACAATCAAAAGAAATCCATGAGAGTGCAACAGAAGCTGCTTGAAAGGTTTTGAAGTTTAGGGAATGAGAAAGAAAAACAAAACAATTAGGAACAAAATGTCATAAAATTAAAACAAATAATTAAAAAAAACAAATACAAATAGTTTACATGAAAGCCAGGTTTTCAGCCCCTATTAACAATCTCAACATGTTGAAGTTGAAGTTGAGAAATGCAAATCAGAATGAGAAGGCCATGGCCATAAGTCCCACGAAACATCATTTATGGTATCTGCACCATTAACAGCATTGTGCTTATTCTCAAATGAAGTAAAATATGGAGAAAATTTAAATATTTGGAAAGCATATCCTTTTCCTCTGCATCTATCAAATCCATTTGCCATTCAAATATTTTGAAAGATTAGAAAGAAGAAAAACAAGAAGCTTGAAACAGATTGAGAATGATACCAAAAAAAAAGAGATTCATGTCCCCACTCAAGAGTCCTTATTCACTAAACTCTATGCTGATCAATGGTTTTTACTTGAACCTCCTATGTGGATTGGCATTAAACAGTACATAAGTGCTGTTAGAAACAATGAGACTGAAGGGTTGTCAATGATTATGCTAAACAGGCAATGAAGTTGATCCTTGAGAACGACTGAATCATCACCATATAAGAACATAAACAATACATTCTTCCAAGTTGTTCAGCAGCATTGAAAAGATTTCAAAACAAGTAAAAAATCAGCACTGGTTCAAAAGTAAGGAGAAACTAGGCAACAATAACAGTTGGCACCTAGAACCCTCTCCCCCCCCCCTCCCTCCCAATGAGGAGCTAATACTCACAAAATGTGAGGAATCAGATTGCCACACAATGCCAGGCCTAGTGATAAAAGCTAAACGTCCTTTGAGCAACCTTTAAATATGCTTCGATTGAGCAGATTTTTTGCACAAGTTTCCTTTTGGAAGTGTACAAGGATGAGAGGTTACAACTATATAAAATTCGAAGGTGAAAAAAATATATGCATTTTTTTAAACCACCATACTGGACATCTGTAAACTTCTTAAAATGATCCCTATAACACCTGAGCACTCAGGTACACATCAGAGATAACTGATGCAGGGATATGAATGAGAAAAAATCATTATGGGAGCAATTTCCATTGAGCTTTCCATCATAGAACATAGCTTTATCCTTCATGGATGGAACAAGAGTCAGAAAGAACTCATTTCTTCTTGCTCTTGCCCTTAGCCTTCCTTTTCTCAGCAGCCATCTTGGCTGCTTCTGGGTCCTCTGCTGCTTCCTTGGCTCTCTTTTGGCGAATACCAAAATAACGCTCATTGGACCTGGCCTGTAATGACAGAAACAGAACTATGCAGTGAGGCATGAATAACATATTGTTTGGGAAGAGTAACAAGTGCTCACCAGACGCAGGGTGATGAAAGGCGAGTAATTCTTCTCCTCTTCAGTTGGAACCCTGGCCTTCTCAACCTTCACAGGCTGGCTGATGGGCATCACTGGTCCCTTCAGTTGCTGGGCCAACTTCAACTCTTCAGGCTATCAAAAGACCTCAATCTACAGGACTGAACTCTCTCAAGCAAGATAGAAAGACATCCCAAAACTTGACATACACTGGAGTCACCCTTCTTGGGCTTAGTCAACTTGCGAGGGAACAGGATGAGCTTAGAGCGATACTCCTTCAGACGCTGAACATTTTGCTGAAGTGCTTCCACAGAGTTGTTCCTCCTCCTGTGGTCAACAGCAATCCCGACTGTCCGAGCATAGTGCTTGTTCAGGCCAGCTGCCTATTGAAATAAGAGTTACTGCAATAAAAACTATATATTCAATGTTACTATCAAATAAAAAATAACATGAAACTAGGCCTAGGAATGCAGATTGCAACCAACCAAAATTATAAGCACAAAACAAAGAAAAATATATAATCTATATTGAGAATGGGCTTTGAATGCATTTGTGGGAATGGAGAATTCTCTGCCAACACAAACACAGCTGAAATATTCAATGGTAGCACTACTACTTTCCAACTTAGTATAACATTAAAAGCTAAATCCACTTTCATTATGTGGGAATGAATTCCAACCAAGTAATGACTTCAAAATAATTAGGATAGTAGGCCACAATTACACATTCAGAAACAGTACATAGTACTTTCTCAACAGCAGCCTTCCTGTCTGTCAAGGATATAAATATTCTCATCCAAACCTAGAATTGGAAAGTTAGCAGCATTTACAATGATGTAAATATCCAAATCCATTCAATATTTAAATATCCTTTTGTGGTGAGATGTCTTTGTAAAACCCTCATGTTGTGAAAAAATTGTTGAGTTAATTCCCAATTCGTAGAAAAAATCTATATGTATAACCGAAGTGTTTGTTTCATGTCTGCATAGAACATGATCTCGTCCACTGATAGCCTCAGCATCTTTTCACCTTGACTGCTGAAGCTGTAAAAAATATTTCCTGGAAAGGCATCCATATGTAGACATGTATGATAGAGAGCAGTGAAGGAGAAGAAAAAGTGGGAGATAGCAAGAAAAAAAAAAGAATGAAATCTATAAAGGAAAATTCCAGCAAATAGATATGCAACACTGAACAAAGTTTGGAAGGACATCCATTCACATTGCCAGCCCTCAGAAAAAGGTCAAAGGTTGCCTCCTTCAACCCTTTCAGACCTGGCATCCATTCCATTGGACATTGCATTTACATTTTGTCTATGGCAATTTCTTAGGATTCTTGTGACTTTGCACTCCATATTTCGCTACAATGGGAGCAATTATGCATGGCTCAGTACCATCAGAGGCCTTCTTTCACCCATTAGTTTTGTAATCTTCACTTATTTAATTAAATGCATAATATATAATATATGGTATGATATGGTAAATTTATAATTAAAAAATATGAAAACTACATATAAAGCATAAAAATTTCAATTACAAGATATTATTCCAATAGCTGCCTTAATTCAGGTCTGAAAGGGTTAAAAAAAAAACCTGATCACATACACACATGCACTTCAACTAAGTAAAAGATCAGAACACACTCATCTGAACATAACGCCCACGATAAAGGTACCTACCCTCAAAAAAGACCAGGTTTAATTATGCAACTAACCTACCCGTTGTGGGCATTAGTTTTACCTGTCAACCAGGGACAAAGATAACCCTAACACTACGACAGCCCTGTTAGGCCTAATGTTAGCATAGTTAACGCTAGATTAGGCCGAGCATAAGATATAAGAGAGCAATCATGAGAGCAATCCTACCTTGAGTTCTTCCAGGCTGAATCCTCGCCCAGCCCTGACTTTTTTATGGTATCGGCTAGTCGGACAACGAACGACGGGTCGAAGCGGACCAGAGACAGGGCGTGGAGCTATCCTCCTAGCCTTCTCGATCCTGTTCTTTCGCCTCCTAGCTTTTCTGGCAGGCTGATCGAACCACGTTTTCACGTAGTTTTGCCAATGCTTGTGGAAATGAGCATTGGGGATCATGTTATTCCGCTTGGGTGCCATGATTTCACTCCGGTTTCTTCCAGCGGTCCCTCAAGCACGACTTTCTACGGCACCATGACACGACGAAGAGGCAAGTGAAGGCGTCTTCGACTCTGATGAGTGCGGCAAGGCCTAGCTGGCCTTGCCGCAGGATTTGTTGTCCACGTAGCATTTATGACTACAGAGGAGGAATACGGTCTCAAAGGATACAGTAATCTATTTTCAAGCCTGACCTTACTGATGATAGTGATAAATTGTGCCAGGGAAACTTTCCCTGGCGCGTCTCGATTCTGAAAACAAAGGCGTAAAAATAGCTTACGTGGGTCGAGCTGCGGCCGACGCACCAAAATTACAAAAAACAATTTTCCAAGGAATTCGTACTACCTTTAAATTGGGTCTAACAGGCCTAGTGCCGTTCCTTTCATGGGGGAAATCCCCCTTACCTCCTAGCATGCTGCAGAGGAGAACATGCACGGTGTTAAAGGTAGTACGAATTCAGTTGCAAATCACAACAGAATGAGACAAAAGCTCCTTCTTCGAATAACAAAACAAGACATTCTTTACTCCGTACTCAAGAAGTTCCGTAATTTACCCTGAAATCCTGAACGCACGAGATGGCTCACTTCCCGGACAGCACTCGGACTGGAGTCGAAGACGCGCTGGCACTACACCAGCCAATGGGGAGAGGAGCGAGACCCCTTGCGTGTCTTCACGTACTCACCCCTTTTTCAGATCGACTTCCATTTATACTAGTTTTTTTTCTTCTTCTTTTTTTAGTGGGAGGAGGCTCACCGAAAATCGATGGTGAGAGATAGCCAGCCGAGTAAAGGCCCACGGATCCTTGAAATCGAGGAAAGTCATTCGTCCTAGTGATAAGCGAACTTAGCCCAAGTTGCAGCATTTCCTCTTGTGGTATCTTGGCTTTTGGGACCTGTGGATGCTCTCAAGGCCGGCCCTAGCTATTTCTGTGCCCTGTGCAAAAAGACTCCCGACGCTCCACCACCCACCCACGCTCATGTTGATAGGATGAGCTTCCACTGAAGTAAAACCGAGGGTGGCATCCATTATTACTCCATTCAGACACGTTTCGGCGCCCCTGGTGAATCTGTACATGTGGCACATGCCTAAGGCCGGCCCTGGATGCACCTGGCAACACTTGAATATTTTAAAACGCCTGTGCCAGCATAGCTGTCGGAGACGTTTTGGCAGTAGTTCAATTGGGCCAAGAGAAAGGAGGATCCGGTGAGATTTCCCTTATCATCGATCAAGGTGCAAGGGGAAAGAAATTCCAAAATTTCCATCCTGCATTTCCAACGTCGCATTTTGATATATTTGAAAGGTTTATCGTGCTATTTATTTATTAACTGTATGGCACGGAATGCACAGATTCTCTCGGCTTGATGCTGCGAAGCAGCGGGTTGGTTCCTCTGGGTTCAGCGTTCTAAGAAACGAAAAAAGTCAGACACGGGTTTTGATCACTATCGGCATGTGGGATCAGATTCTCTCTAGAAACCGGTTTCTTCTGGAGTTTCCTTTATCTCCGCAGCTGGCGGACAGGGTCTAAAAGGAGAAAAGGATCGACCTCGAAAGTACTGGAATGAAGGCTGGAGCTTTCTCTAAGCACCGAAGCGACGAAATCTGGAGCGAACGGGTTCTAGCTCCCCACCCCTCCTTCCCTTTCCAGCCCCACTCCCAACCCCGTCGACAATATACAAGGTGGCTACGAAGCCACGATCGATTTCTTTTATGTTGATTCGCGGAGAAGGATTTATGATTGACAGGTGTTTGTCCAAAACGTGATATCGCTCGTACGTCGCCTGTCCACCGTCGCGATGCTACTCCCACGGAGGTAGCCCAAATGCATCGCACAGCATTTATCGGGTTCCTTTCGACTGCAGCGTAGATACAATTTCGCAGATCCCGCAAGTCACGAACCTTGCAATTCCCAAGTCCCAAACAAAACCGTTCGTTGATGGCGAAATGGGGTGGCGGACCTGGTATATGAATGCACCTATTTCGTTGTGGAAGGTGACTTCGTCGCAAAAAAGCCACGTTCCGTTAGATCCTTATTTTCGTGGTCCAGGTCGAGAAGTGAACACGCATGATTTGTTCACAATCAGACTTATATTTACATCTATTTTACCAAATTCATTCTTCATTATCATTCCACCGATGTGCAACTTCTGCTTCGAGTAAGCCCAGAAATGTAATTTAAATAATTATTAATCATCAAAACAGATTGAAACGTTTTAACAACCAATTTTATTTCTTCTCGAATCTTGCTAGATGCCAAGAGATTCATGTACGCTGTGTGTGTGTGAGGGCGAGGCAACCCAGCCTCCAACCCCTTTCCTCTCACATCGCGGCTAAATCTGGAAGACGGAACCAGTTTTTTAAGTCTGGGCCAGCACCGAAGACGTGGAGGAATTTCAACCGTGGCTGCCGAGGATCCGACAACAACACCAAAAAAATTTTATTGGACACTGTCACATCCTTTGACGGCTCCTGCCTGCTCGAAACTCATCCGAGCGAAATCACGGAATCCGCTTAGAAAATGAGGATGAAATATCCCGTTTTATTCGCTCCATGTGTGGCTGGAAAACCGCAAGTGAGAACTAGTTAATAGGTATTCAAGCTGTGCAGGATGCTGGATGCAGCAGTACGCGGCAGCAGTAATTTCACGGATGACAGGCTGCTTTCACCGTACTTCTGCCGCTTTTATTTATTTATTTGCTACATTGCAGGATTTCAGCGCAAAAGCTGGACATGCCGGATGGGATTTCTCAGCACCGCACGCAGTCACAGCATCCAACACGAAAATAATGCACGTGGCCGAGAGTGGAGCTGGTACCGGGAACCGGTACCACTATTAACTATCGGTTCTCTAGCTCAGGACTGGATTTTGCTTGTTCTCAACCACCTCTTTAAAAAAAAATCGCACGGTGGCCTCCCCAAATTGAAAATGTCAAATTTCAGCGCTCAAACAGTTCCTGAGTTATCCCCCCAGGGGGAAAAGTAAGTCGGAGGTCAATAGTCGATTGACCCGCCCCCCGACTATCTTAGGGTAGATAGTCGGGGTAGTAGGGTAATTGAGGTAGAAAGTGGCCACTCATGTTCATGGTAAAGAGAGTGGTTTTCACAGGAAAAAATAAATTTCAACCTGGGAGCTCCGGCACTTGAAATTATAATTAGTTTTATTCATCTGGAATAATTAAATTAGCAGAAGGCCAACTCTCTTTTGCACCATTGATACCTTTAAATTATTAGACCGTAAACTTCCTCCAGTAAATACAAATAAACCAATAAATATAAATATAAATATAAATATAAATATAAATATAAATATAAATATAAATATAAATATAAATATAAATATAAATATAAATATAAATATAAATATAAATATAAATATACACACCCGTGATGATAAAAGAATACGCGAGATACGCCCAGAAGTTGCACCTCTCCGCCAGCGACCCCGACACCAGGGTGGCCGCGGTGGCGGCATGCACGAAGTCGAAGAACCAGTGGCCGAACTCGTGCTCGGGGAGGCCGGAGCTGGCCCAGTAGGTCCAGCCCATGAAGCCGTTGCCGGAGTGGCCGAAGGCGAGGGGGAAGCCGATCAGCCAGTAGGCGAGGCTGCCGATCACTGCAATTTGTAGTTTAATGCGGTATGTGTTAAATAATGTTTTTTTTTTTTGGCAGTATATATATTTTTAATGATATAATTTCGAGATTGTGCGAGACTCTTCTTTTTGCATTTATTTCAGATGAATGAGCATGTTCTTTATCAAGTTTTAAACAAATTCACTCAATGCCTCAGATGCGATAATGCAGTATTTAAATATCAGTTAACTTCTTATGACCTAAGCTGGAAATGTTAAATTTTAACTAATTTTTAATATATATATATATTTTTTATGGTCCTTTGGCCTCAAGACAAATCCTCGTACCTGGTTAGCGCGCCCGTTTTTCTCGATCAACTAACTTTCAAAGCGTTGCATTTTTTATATTTACTTAATTAAATATTTTATTTTACTTTCGGGAACTCACAGCAGTCGAGCAGATTCTTGATGAGGATGTTGGTCGTGTTCTTGGAGCGCACGGACCCGGCCTCCAGGAAGGCGAAGCCGGCCTGCATGACTGTTCAAACGAAAAAATTTTACTTTAAATATTTTGTATTATAAAATTATAAATAAAGTTTCCAGGTCAAAATTTGAGCAAGATGTGAAAAACGTTAGAGAAAGAGTAATGATAAAAAATTGCAGTTAAACTAGAAACAACATTTCTGGTAAGTAAAGTGTTTTCTTTTTTATATACAGAATGTGAAACCATTTAGTGATAACGAAATTTAAAAAATAAATGATAAATTTCAAAAAGTTAAATAACAAAAACGTACAGAAGATGATGATGGACATGGTCATAAGAAAGAACTCGTCGGTGGAGAGGCCGAGTCCGGACAGGCGGATGGCGACCTCCTGGACGGTGACGTTGTCCAGGTTCTGGAAGTAGTGGTGGAGGGAGTCCGGATCCGGATGGAGGATCCGTTCGTCCAGGCCCTGGAAGATCTCCTTGTGCATGCCGAACTCCCTGTAGTAGTCGAGGCTGTCTCCGTGCATGACTGAGTGCGCTTCGTCCTCCTCGGGGTCGACTTCCTCGCCGCTCCACGCGGGCCGAGCTGTCGCGGCGGAAAAACGCGGTGAGGATTTTTTTTCGCGGGATTTCGCGGAAGTTCGCGGGATTTGGGATCACGCGATGACTTAAGAAAAATGGTGCTACGACCGTTTTCCTTCGCATAGATAGCTCAAATAAATGAATTTGAGAAAAGGGCAGGTGGCGGGAGGGAGTTGTCCTGCGAATCGTCCTAACGAAGCACTCTCAAGGAGTTACTCGATTAAATTCGCCCTGAAAACTCCTCATGGTGTCGAAGGATGTCGAGAAAAGTTTCAAGGTCGTATGACGAGCTGATGCGGGGAAAGCTCGTCCAACGGGAACGAGTTCGGGAGACTAACCGACCGTGCTGCCATCTCTTGGGAGAAGAGGGAAATTAGCGGGCGTTGACATTCGCAAAGGAATGCAGCTAGGTTCATCTTCATCCTATTTGTTTTAATGGAAAAAGCCGGATCTCGTGTCATGCGAAGCTGCATGCATCGTTCATTTTGACCCATTTCGGCCCATTTCGTCTCATTTCGACCCATTACGTCCCCTTCGCGACACCTCTTCGTCCTTGTTCACGTGTTTTCGAAAACTCTTGTTTACGCTTTGAGAACCTATCTCGTCATTCGTGACGGGAATGCCCGAGTCTATTCCCCGCTCATCGACCGGTTTGGACCAGTTTCCTTTCTCGGCCGGGCAAAGAAGCGAAACCCCGTCAGGCGATGGCCGGATCTGGATATGACGTCACAGGGCCATAAATTTTCCAAGCCTCGCGAGCTTTCTCGCGACGAGCGACGCACGAGCCCGAGTTCGTGGAGAAATTCGTCGAATTTCGGACGAGAATCTCAGAACTCATCAGTAATTCATTAGGAATCCTTCATGAATTCCTAAGGAATTCTTAAATACATAAATACAACGATGACCCGTCTCAGCCTTACGTAAGACTTCGGTCGCCTGGCACGTGCTCGTCCTGCCTCCCCCTTCCCATCCTCCGATTGGTCCTTCCTCTCCCTCTCCCCTCTCCCATTGGTCGGGGACCCAGTGACGTCACACCGTCCGCTCCACGGTCGCGGATCCCAAGTCTTTTTTTTTCCCTCGAAGCCTCGCGAGCGCACTCGTGCATTGAACATGCGTGCGATTTTTACTGCCAAATATAATGGGATTCATTTTGCGCAATCGATTCTTCGCCGGATCGAGACGACTCATGATGATCATCGCCAAGGTCTCACGATGATCATCATGAGATCATCACATTTCCGAATTCGACCGAATCGGCCGGCAGCGCAGCTCCACGATGCGGCAATCGACAAATCGTGGCCCGCTTTTGTGACTCGTTTGGCCAACTGTTGGCCGACTCTTGGCCGACTGTTGGCCAACTCTTGGGCAACCACTGGACTGGTCCTACCTTTTTTTCCTGCCTATTCGTTTTCGGTAGATCGAACACAAACCATCGACTGAAACTCCCCAGTCGGAGTCAAGGGCGAAGAACTGGACCCGTACTGGACCGGACGGCCCAGTACGCGTCCAGTACCTCAACGAACGATTGACGAGTTGCAGAGATTTCAGCAATTCAGAAAATCGTGTTTAAACTCGCGCTCAAACATCCGGCATCAAGCATCCAGCATCAAACATAAGCGGACGAAAAAAAAATAATTTCAGACTCATCCGAGTTTCCTCGCGTAAAAAGTAACAAATTACGTGAAACCTATGTGTTAAATGACCGTGAAAACAGGAATCTATACATTTATGGGAATCGTAAGTGTGCGTGAATATTAATATTTAAAAAACATATATATATATATCAATAAATATGGTACTGACCGAGGAAGATGAGGAGCAAGCAGGACCTCGCGCACCACTTCATTTCTCACAGAGGAATAAATCTCTTCGGGTTCCCGCTTTCCCACTTATAGTGAAACCGTTTCGAGGGATCACGCTCACCTTCGACGAGAACGAGTTTTTTTTTCTCTCTAATTAGTGAGAGAGAGAGAGAGAGAGACGGAGAGAGGGTTGAGAAGTGACCTTTGGGAATGGACTCGAGGGGAATTCGGGCTGGGGTTATATACATCTGATGGGATTCAAATAAGATGAAAAATAAAAATGGTATAAGCGATTCGAGATATGGTATAAGCGATCGGGCGACCTCGGGGGGAGATCCAATGTTTTCGCTTTATCCTTCCGGATCGATCGGGATTCACGGAAGTGTTTTTTTGCTTTTTTTTTGTTTACCCCTTTCAATTTTTTTTTTTTGTTTCCTGAGATCGTTCCGCTCTCATTTTTCTAATTTTTTCCATTTTTCATTTGGTCCGGGAGGATGTCGTTCGGGGTGTCCCGAGGTTGGAAGGGGGCGTCCCGAGGATGGAAGGGGGGAGGGGGGCGGAGGGGAGGGGGGGGGAGTCCCGTTGACGAAATCCGGAAATCGAATCACAAATAGCGAGGCGATCCGGAATTCAGAATCGGACCGAATTGATTGAGGGCATTCGGGGATTGAGGGCATGAACACGAGAAAAAAAAGTCCTACGTCTCCATCGCCGACGTAATTCGTCATTGAAGTACTTCGAGACCACGAAAAAAAAAACATGTTTCTTCGTTGATTCGAACATGTCGAACTTCTCACTCAACGGCATTCCGACGAGCAAAGGATCTTAAGCTAGGGATCTTAAGCCAGATCTCCAATTAAGAAGAAACCTTGAAGTGACTCCCTCGCACGTCTGCAAGGTCGTTTTCGGGAAAATTCGTCCCGTCGGGGACAGGGCATGTGAAGAGCGGGACAGGTGAAATCAGGATAGGTAAAAATGGGACAGGTGAAATAGGGACAGGTGCGGTTCCCATCCCTACCTCCGGGGAATCACCTCAGAGGAATCACCTCTGAGGAATTTCTTGTGAAATTCGGAAGAAATCGTCTTTGCCCTTGTCTGGACTGAACCGCCTTGAAGAGAATCAATTAAGGTTTTCAAGGTGAAATTTGTCTGCATCCCTTTAATGCCCTTCTCCATCCTTAATGGGCGAGGCCATGTGGGCTTCTAATGAATCACATTCGCGGAATAGCTTAAAAAAGAAAAATGTTAAATTTCTCTTGAATTCCAGAAGGTCTCGAACGGCATGAAGACGTTTCTCCCGGGGGAGAGATATCTTCGTGCGATGTCTTCAGGCGACGGGGAGAAAAAAGGGCAAGAAATGCGGGCCGGAGAAACACGACCCCGAAAGAAGAAATCCGTTTATTCAGAGCGGCGTAATGTGACGTCTGTCAAGGGACCGTTACCCGCCTCGCCTTTCCCATATGCGACGTTCGAAAAGAATCGCTCCATTAATAAGCGAACGGAGTCGCTCGGTTTATGTCACCCGCTGGTTTATGTCACTCCTCTGCTTGCCCAGCCGTTCGTATTCATGTCGACTCACTGGTTGTCCTTAGTCGATGCTGTTGGTCGCACGACTTCTCATGCAGACGGAAAATATTTGCAAAGCATTGGCAAATATTTTGGCCGAACGAGCTATCGCCGTTGATCGAGATTCGGACTGGCGGGGTGAGAGACTTAATTCTATCAATCTGCCAAATTTCATCTCATAACTCATCGTACTTTTAGAGAAAAAATTCGGATTCCTAATTAATACTCAGAGTTAAGCCGGACCCCGCTTCCGCCGAGAAGGAGAGCGGCAGAAAGAAAAGCGTTTTGAAAATGATAAAAGGGGTCAGGAAAAAAAGTTCACATGAAAGGGTAAAAATATAAAAATTACAATAAAAATGAAATTTAGAGGGAAATCCGATGCCAGTGAAGAGTGAAATCCTGCATCTAGAAAATCAGGCAGCATGGAATGTGAAAGCGAGAAGAAAAGTCCATGAAAGTGACAGTAAAATTCAGCCGAATTGGAAAAGCACCTCTTTCAACATTAATTTGATTTGTTTCGATTTAATTTATTTCATCATTTTCATGCGGTCACCATGCCCAGCCGTTCAGCGTTCGGAACTCGTGGCAGGACCATTAACCCGTTAATTCACGGGCTAAAGCCTACACCGACGCATCCCCGAGAGTGTGTTACGTCGACGCGACGTCCGAATTTCGCGGATTTCGCGTCAATTTAGCGGATGTCAGACCTAAAGATTGGATTCAATTCTTGCATTTGAATTTAATGAAAAGTTTCGTTTTTTTTTCTTAAAATGACGCGCTTCTCTCAAGTTTCATTTAAATGACCAGCCGCGATAGGTCTTTCGTTTGTATAGCATTAATAGGAAAATTATGGGGCATTTATAGGGTACTAATGGGAAAATTATAGGGGTGTTTATAGGATATTAATGGGAACATTATGGGGCGTTTATAGGACATTATTTCTAGGCTTCCCCGAGAGTTAAGACATCTAGGAGAGAAAAAGATGGTTCAGCTTTTTCTCGGCCACAGGTTTCTGCCGACGTCGGTCGGGTGTCCTGTTTATCAAAAATCAGGGAAAGACAAGTGGGACAGGCGTGAAAACAAGCAGAAACATGAATGAAACATGCAGAAACATGCATGAAACATGCAGAAACATGCAGAAACTTGCAGAAACATGCATGAAACATGAAGAAGGGCGCGGATAAACTGAAGGATTAACCCTTTCACCTTTCCCGGGGGATCATCCGTTTTCCGGACCTGTCCGACGGGATCTTCTGCCGGGATCTTCCCATCGATCAGGGAGAGAAAAAAAAAAATAATAATAATAAAACAGAAAAACAGGCGTGATGTAAGGCAGAAAATATTTTTTTCTCACGGCCGAGTGCGTTCCGTCGCAGGAGAGAGACGCAGAATCATCTCGATTTCGGAGAGACTGGAGCCAGCCGTTCATTTTGTTTGAAACCTATTTTTTTTTTTATGAACAGATTTATTTCATCGCAGGTTTTTTTATTTTTCTCAAAATAAACACAAAAATTTTCTTCGAATTTTCTTCCACTTTTCAATAAAAGCACAACTGGTCGCCGCACCGGATTTCTAATGGAAAAAGAAAAATTACTGGAAATCGACTATTTCGCCTTAACGCAACGCCCGGATGAAACTGCCGTGGAAGAAATTCGAAGAGATCTCCAAATCGGTCCTTTTCACGCTTTCACCGATTATTTAAATTGAGAAAATGACTTCACCATCCCGGCTGACAATGGAGCCATTTCCGCGGAACCTTCACTCTTCATACGTTTCCAAGCGAATCACAATTTCATCCGAATTCGTCGAGCTGAAGCGATTCTATCAGCCATGATTGAAAAAGGAAGTTAGAGAACGGAGGAGGGCTGGGAGTGGAGGTGACACTGGAGGTCACACTCCCGCGCCGTCCTTCCAGGTCAGCCGAGACCGACTCCGCTTCCCCGTTTTCTTTCTTTGGGTATCAATTTCCAGCGACTTTTCACAAATGCAATTCAGGATTTCCTTGGTTTTCCTGAGTCGGCAGGGACGAGAAAGACCGACGACTGCATCGCACGACCGCTTCAGTTATGCCTTGCGAAATTTGCCGGAGATGTAGCCTGTTCGTTCGAATGCGAACAAGGCTGCCG